TCAGGCCAAGTTTCATCGTCGTAACAGAGTATATACGAACTCAAGAGGGAGATCTGACTCATGATGCAATCTATGTTATATCGGACCACTTTGGTCCCGAGCGAAGGCGTTCAATCTTGGATCCACGAAGCATGTCAACAAAAGCACGATATATACGTGCCACTTCATACCGTCTCCATGGGGATGGGAGGAGGAAGATAGTAGGAGGATAAGTAAATCTAACAGATGACTAGATGGGGATTTACGGTAAGGTGAGAGTAGGGTGGGGATTGATGATATTCGAATAGCAGGAAGCCCCCCCCTCCTTTTATGTGTTCGTCGGTCGTGTAGAGTCCGCCTTTCTCCTTTCGATGCTCGTCCGTTCGTTCCTGTACGTCGATCAAGAAAGCTAGAGTGTTCTACATAGCATAATCTGATGGAACGCATGTAGAAGGGTTCCATGAGATTCGTGTGTACGTGGTCGCTAGTGAGTACGTGAATGAATCATCGATATGTTCGAAATAGCATGCGTACTGACTTGCATCACGTATCACAATATGAAGAATAGGATAACAAAGGCCTCTCGCGAATACCGGATACTCCCCATGAGGTGTTTCGATATCAGGAATAGGCCGATCGCGTCGTAAAAGGAAATCTCAAGAAAACAAGGAAGTGCCACCGAATATATCACTATTGGCAATTAAAAAATGTAGTCAGTGCGTGTCAAAGTGTATTAGAGTGTATTTATTGTCGATTTACGAACCATTTGCATCGCCAGGTTCCAGTGGTCTGTCAGATCTGATGGCGGGAAACAATGTAAATCATTTCTTTCTGTCATACGGAGATACGGCCGTAAGGCATTGATATCTATGATACGACCCATTTTAAACATGGCGGACGTCGAGTGTTGCAATGAGACATTAGGATACCCGCTTAGCAGCCAGATGGTAGACGACGCTGGACGAATATGGAGCCCATTTTCCTAAATCTACGACGTTATAAGACAGCGTACGGTTGATGGGCGAAAGCGGTGGATGTGAGTTACAAGACGGCCAGAAACGTTGTGAAGGGTGTTTTTTCTTTCCTTGTATTGACTGATCAATCTCAGGTTCGTTCCATATCAATACATATACTTACTATATTTCTTAATTACACGAATCATACTCCGATTGTACGGAACACATAAGCGTCTTGATCCGCGATCCCTACACCAGCATCAATACGATCAGGTGTAGAGCATTCGTGAGATAAAGCCGTATACATTCCGATTGAATGATTACTTCACTGTATCGTATCATGGAATCACTATCATCCGAATTGAGCGGAATATGATTCAGATAGCGAGTGATCGGGGACAATGACAACTGTGAATTCGTCATTAAAGTGTGATAAACAAACATTTTCTATGGTACAAAACACATACAATCTCTCAATTTATGACGTGTTGTATCAAACGTTGTCGCAGGTATCATAAAAAAGGATGGATATGGCGGTAGGGTCGAAGATGCATCACCGGTACATGGTCCACACCTACGTACGCCTAATCACGATAGTAAATACAGTAAAAAAAGTTCTAATAGCAGTAACAGACGTCTCTATTGTTAAGTTCGAATATAGGACAAAGGGAAATACAGACGCGTGCGGATACCTTTTCATCGTATCAGTAATAAGTATCACCCTAGACCCTATCAAAGGAAGCTTCTAGAAGATACACAAATCATATTATGAATATAAATCGTATGTTGAGATTGATTTAGGAGCGTGCATTATCGTTTGAAGTTAATCCATGCGGAAATGGCCGAGCCGACTGCATTTTCAGCAATGCCGAGATATGGCCGATCAATAAACACGGATTGACTGGTTTTCGACTGGGTACGTGTCGATCCAATTGTACTTCGAGCTCGGATCAATTTTTCTGATAGAGATAGTAATATAGCAGCATGATAACGTGGCCCGTACAATGGGATAGTATAGAGACCGTCTTCCGTCGGACGTACCTTAGCCATTCTACGGAATAGATGGCGCACAGCATGATCGTTCCATCGAGCGCACCATCTTGCTCCCACCCTCTGCCCCACTCACATGGTATCGTATCTTTTTTAATACTATATACACAGTAGCACAATATCAAAGCGGTCGGGTAGTCAGTATACCGACACGATTCCGGCGTAAGACGTAACAAAGTAAGTTCGATATGAGCGAATGAATGATATATCTTACGAATTGGGTCACAGCAAGATGGGAACATTAAACTAATAAGGATATCAACGATACTCGTCAAGCAAATAGATATCAATTCGTACGGACATGGGCCCGCGAAGATTACATAGGTATATATCGTCAATCGAACGGATAGTTTCCAACGCCCTTCGACGACGGTATCAATATATAAGGGAACCGGCATTGGACGAATAAACTTGTGATATTCATTGAGATCATGTCCTCGATACCATACCCCTCCAAAGAGGATTCGTCCTCGACCAGTCTTTTCTCCCTTCGTTTTGGTGGCCCCAAGCTTCCTTTCGACATTCTCTATCTGATTGTCACGGGCTTTCGTTGTTCCATCCATCACGGCCCGCGCGCGTGCCATTGCGAATACCGGGACACTCTACTTGCGTTGTCTCTCGTCAACCGTGACTTGAGCGATGTGGTACGGAAGATAATACGCAAGCGCATACACGCATATGGCTTCTGTAGTCTAGCAATAGGCTCGGTATTCAGCAAGTGCGGTATAACTCAACCGTACACTATGTTGGTAAGTACAAACATACTATTTCACGGATCTATCAATATATCGATACACGATCAACACGGGACTGACATCTAATTATCAGGAGTTCTGCAGGAAGTTAACACCGGACCTATTTCCGGGGATAAAATATCGACTGCGTCATACGCGTGCGATATACGATCTCGCATATGACACTGCTTCGTCGGTGTTATTCGATTTTCTCTTCACAACCCATCGTGGAGAATTCGTGATGCCTCGGCTCGTCGACATATCAACCAACTCCATCACCCCCGTCAACTTCTTCAATACACTTACAATCTTGGAGCAAAAAAAAGCGTACATTACACACTTAGATCTGCGCGTAGTAAATCGCATCGACGTTGGCTATCTACGTGTCTACCTTAAAGAATGCATATTACTATATACGATGTGCAAGTGATACGCTTGTATACATGGATGCCGAATTCTCTAATTCCATTGAGCGTAATTATGGTAAGATTGCTCGCCATGGAATACTCGTCTAGTGGTTATGGGCCCGATCACCAGATTCGAGATGTCTTCCCATGCCTTATGTTCTATAGTATCACCTTCCAAGTATACCCTCATATCGGCACAGTAAATTGCCTCGAGGTTAGGAAACACGGCCGTTAGGAAACTAGATACAGGTACTACCTGGTCGGGAAACACGGGCGATCCGCCTACATACAACTGGCTGAGTTTACTCGTGACGCCTTCCATTGCCCTCTTCCAAGGAATAGATGGTTTTATCACGTCACCTTCACGATTGACATTGAGGCGCGCATCGAAGCATATGCTGAACGATACCAGCCCCTGGCATAGATATGCGAAATCGGTGATGTCGCCGAGATTGATTCCGAGAGTATCAATTGTGTCTACTGAATGTCCACTGAATCCGA